TGTGTACTTGTGTGCGTGTGTATGTATACTTGTGCGCGTGTGTATGTGTACTTGTGTGCGGGGTGTATGTGTACTTGTGTGCGTGTGTATGTGTACTTGTGTGCGGGGTGTATGTGTACTTGTGTGCGGGGTGTATGTGTACTTGTGTGAGTGTGTGTATGTGTTTACATGTATACATATGCCCGTATGTACTTCATTGCACACCCAAAACCCCACAGACCCCAGAGTGAAACCCCAGTCCTCTGGAGACGAAGGAACCCCAAACAACCATTTTTTGTCTCCGCATTCACAATATTTCCTTCTCTAATTTAATCACTTCCGCCTCCTCCTCTAAGCAAGCGGAAGAAATGTACACACACGAAGATATATATATATATATATAAGCCAGGTTCGAAGCCAGCGCGTTGGGGGGATCGATACCTTGTCAATATTTACCTGCACAACACCAGATGCCAAGGTAGAGGTACACTTGTCTTCAGCTTCTTCTTCGGAAGGAGAATTGCAGGAGGGTTTGGCAAGGTGGGTTATTTCCAGGGATGAGGTCAAGTGGTTCGTATTGCGTGGTGGGAAAATGTGAGGTCATCTCGGGTTAGAAGATGGGTGGGGGAGCCATGAGGGGAAGAGGGGGGATTTTCTTCGAATAAATTTGTTATTTGTGGGTATTATTTTGATCAATGTGAGTGTCTTGTTATCTAATTAGTTATGTAATGTAAGTAAAAGTATGTAATTATGTGAATCACAAAATAGGTTGTTTGGTGTAATATGGTTGTGAGTTTTATTAATAAAGGAAAGTAGAATGACGGGTTTCATAAGACTGATATTATGTTATGTAATAATGTAGTTATGCAATTACGCTTCTGAACAAAATAAGACTTTAATCCATTTCATAAAGTCACACCAAAGGAAATTCTCACTTGCTTGGATTCACGTAAGATTAATACTCACTTATACCAAGATTTATTTTAAAGAGCGAGATGACGCGGTAATATAATCCGAACAGTGTTTTTTAAGTACGAAATCCAACAACACATCGATACCAACTACCATTTACGGATATTTACTAAATCGTTGTGCTGTGTACACGAGAAAATGTAATTGCTTTATCCCATTAGACGCTTTAAATCAAGAAATACTTCGATCCTTGGTCATAATGCGACCGCTAGCCGTTAATGTTTTGGATAAAATTATTATTAGTCTGTAAATTTATGATCACTTACGATGAACTAAAAACACTAATGGCGTATCATGTATATATATATATCAGGAAGAAATGCAGTGAGCCTTAAATACGTGATAATAATCAATAAATAGTAATAATAATGTCCTATCGAGTCACGAGTACAAGGTCTGTTCTCCTCAGCCTCACCTTGTTCCTCAGGTGAAGGAGAACACGTCACCCAGGTCCCGTAGTACTGTCATTGGGGGAAGGTTCACGTACACCTAGTTTACACTCTCTTGCCTTGCTTAAAAACAACACGTAGCTTGAGTTCTGTCCTTTCGAGCGAGTCGTTCATGCAGGTATGGTTGACAACGAATAAGATTTTGTGGTTATGTGTGAACTAAAATAATTGTGGTATAGATTGCATTTCTCATGTATCGGTAATATTGTGTGAATTTGGTTATGATAATGATTCAAAAACACAGTAACGTGGACACAAAGATGAAAGGGAAATAGACATTGTTTATTGTGGCTCCTTTTTCACAAACACTAAAATCATATTATCTTCTTCCCTCAGGCTTCGGACATGTTCGACAACGGCTCGAAACCTCCCGGCGGAACACCAGTCCAAGGCTCGACCCTCCCCCGCAATTTCTACGCGTATTCCCCGTCTCTCCTACACCAGCCCGCCGACTTGGACGAGAGCCACGACTCCTCCTTCAACTCCCTCAACTTCTCGAGCACGAGCTACGACCGCCGGACTCGCCAACGCCCCGGAATTCGCCACCATTCGTTGGTGAAGCGACACGCGGAGCTGGCAATGGCGGCGGAGACGTCCCTCAACCCCAGGACGCCAGGGTGTAGCCCCGCCAGCCTCACGAGTCTCAACACCAGCTCGTACTCCATAGGACACCACAAGACCCGTAAGGTCGCGTTTCGACCCAAGACCTTCCTGGAGGCGCTGAAGAAGCAGGGGCAGGCGTGGAGGGCCTGGCAGGAGAAGGTCAAGACCGAAAGGAAGACGGAGAGGAAACTGTTCTTCGAAGAGGCTGAGCTCCTTAGCATCAAGAAGAGGCTGGAGGAACACCTTGAGAGGGTCAAGAACCGGGAAGTTGTGGATAAATATATTGAATGCAATAAAGTGACTTCCCTCTAATTATGATCTTTCTTCCTAATATATCCCAAATATATCTTTCAATTCACAGCATCACATTTAAAAGACGACGTTGGTGGGCTGTAAAGTAAGAAAGAGATCTGGAAAATACCATTTAACGTAATACCATACTTTTGTGAATATAATGTATGTGTGTGTGTGTAGATAGATATCTATACATATATAGATAGATGGATATAAATATAGATATACAGATAGATAGATATGTACATATACTTATGTATATGAACCATTGCCTCTCATTCCCGTCCTTCGGGAACTTCCAATTCCAGATTTATCATCTTACTAAATTATTACTAACTAATATGACGTGTTAGGCGCGCCATTTGTGTTTGAACAGATAGATAGATAGATAACTATCGATTAATGTAACAACTGAGATAACTATTGATTCCAGCCTTTTAATGCATATATCTACCGAAAAATATATTACAATATCGGGATCGACCCTGTTCTCCGTCTGTAATGGGTCATCCAGTCAGAGTATCTCTCTTTATGGTTCTATGTGTGTTTGTGTAAGTGAGAATCTGTACATATAAACATATAGTTATAGATATAAATATACATATAGATATATGATATATATACATATAGATATATGATATATATACATATAGATATATGATATATATACATATAGATATATGATATATATACATATAGATATATGATATATATACATATAGATATATGATATATATACATNTATATATATATATATATATATATATATATACATACTTATATATATACATAAGCAAGTAAACAAAGTTAGCCTCACAGGCAATAACTTCCTCACACTCCCCCTCCCCCTCCCTCCGGGCGCCCTTCCCGAGGCGTCCCAGCACAGTAACCGCGTCCCGCCCCCTCGTTCCTCGCTGCCTTCGGGAACTCGCTCGCTGTTGCGGCGCTGAGGTCGACCGACATAAAACATAAAACCCGACCGAGGACGCAGAGGAGTGTCACTGCAAGGAGAGCGAAGCAAGAGGGACGTGAGGAAGAAGCTGCATCTCGAAGCTGGAGGAGGACAAGATGAAGAGCAGCGAGCCTGTGCTTCCCTGCAGGCCCGTCGGGGGGATGCACCAGCGGCGCTTCCTGCAGCGGGAGAGCATGAGAAACATGTGCATTATCACGCAGCCTGATACCTTTTCCTCGACTCCACCGCCTTCTGCTCCTCCTTCGGAAGCCGCGACGTCCACGAATTTTAAACCGAGGAAGCGCAAGAACCTATTAAGCGCCCTGAAGAAGCAGGACAGGTGGCAGTCCCTCCTCCGGCGTCTCCAAGGAGGTCGAAGTGCGTCGAAAGGCAGCGTGACTCAGCAAGGAGAGCCTCACCAGTGTGTTCAGCGAGTCAAGATAACTGAGTGTTAGAGAAAGCGTTCACGAAGGGAAAAAAAATACGGCGGTATTGTTCAGTGCAGGTAAGTCGATAGTCAAACCCTCTTGTCAATAATGTAGCGTCGATGTATAAGTCTTTTACAAAAAGAGAAAGCAAAATAAAAAGAATACGAGCAGACATACGAAATATTTCCCTTTCCCTTTTCCAAACCCTTTCTGAATCCCCGTTTCGTTTCGAGAGAGAGAGAGAGAGAGAGAAAAAGGGTAGTACAAGTCACAGAGTACAGGTGTATGCCTCACGTGTGTGTGTGACAGCGGGCGGGGCTGGGGCGTCGACCTAAACAAACAGAGGCGAAGGCGAGGTGTGTTTGACTATGTATGGCCGGGTTTATCCCACTCCGCAGACGAAGCTGTTTGATGGGCAACCGTTTATCAGGGGGAGAGATATTGGAGTTCGATCATTAATAACAGGATAAATTGGGTTACTTGGGGTTATCATGTTTGGGGTGATAATAATGAGAGGAGTCGCGTATTGAACCTTCGTATAAAATGGTGGTTTAGGTTGGTTCATTAACATGCTTTTCTTGGCGCTGAGGGATGTCGGTGTGTCATGTTCACTCTATCAACATTATGAGGAAAATTACTTCCGTGTCATTATGAGAACACACAAATTAAGTCTTCAGTTGATTTTCTTGATAAATCTATATTGGCCTCGAAGTGAAGTTATTATAAGG